TGCAGTTCCAAGTTTATAGTGGAATAACTATTGGAATTGATAGAATTAATTAATTAATTAAAGTGTTTTAATTAATTATTAATTTTATTGGAGCTCGGGATTATAGGTCAATTAGTCCTCACATCGTCCTAGTAATTCTACCAGACACAAAGGGCAAAATGGGAATTTTAAAATTACAGAATTCTAAAATTAAACACTCGAAAATAATTAATTAAGAATTAATTATTATTTAAATAATGTGATTATTTAAATTTGAATTTAAACACATCTAGATTTATCCATTTAAACTTATTTGATAAGTTGTTCAATTTAGAATTCAAATTAATTTAAGTTTGACTTAAATTGGAATTTGAATTTGAGTCAAAATTGGACTACAGGATAAATGATGATTTTCTCTTCCTTCCCTATCTGCAAATTGACGCCACACAGGGATGAGAATCCCCTAAGTTGGCCGGCCACACTAAGGATAAGGGAATGAGAGATTTTGTTTTAAATTAAAATAGGAGATAATTGACAAGCTTTATCTCGGAGATAGAGATTGGATTCTTTCTAAAAGTTTGACTTCTACTCTATAAATAAGAGAATAGTAGAAAATTGTGGACACAATTTTTGAGACAATTTTTGAAAACAATTTTTGACCTAATAAAGTATTATGGCCGAAATTCTCTTAGAGCAAGGGAAGGAAAAATTTTTCTCCAAAAATTCAACATTGTGCATGCGTTGGTGTTTGTGAAAATTTGAGTATTTATTGTAACCCGTTTTGTCTCATGTGTGCCCACACACATTTCTTCGTGGATTCTAGAAATTGACGTGGAAGACATTGGTTTTCTAAACACAAAGCTTTGGAGTAAGGATTGTTCGAGGTCAAAGAACTCAAGTTATCAACCGAGTCGGCCTCCAGGTATTTTTCCTAATTGAGTTCTTAATAAATGAGTTAATGAGATTAATTTATTCGTACATAAATTAATATAATCTATATAGTATTTCAAAGGTTTTATGAAAATTTTAGTTATACACGATCCGCCTACCCCACGCTTCCGCATCCGAATTTGATTCGGTTACCAACAGTACGTTTGTTTCGGATTTACAGTTTTAATTATGAGATGTATTATATTTCTGTATACAAACTGTATTGGTCAATATTGTCCCAGAATTGTACTATTTTTCTTGGACTTTATGGACTGTTTAAAATATTATTTATAAAAGAAAGTCTCCGGAGCAAACTATATTGATATTTATGTATTTATTTTTATAATTTTTATTAAACAATCTAATTTAATTAAGTTAAATTTTAAATTAAATCTCAATAATCAAAATCTTAGGGTCGTGACACATTTTGCTTTACCGAAAAACACGTTGATGAAGAATTTCATTTCATTTTACAAATTCAAAAGAATAATTCCCATAAAAAGTTTGATCTTGAACCATGTCAGATGTATATACCGCATTACTATGGATTTTTTCATCCATCTCCTGATCCTACAGTAGAAATTAGAATAATAAAAAAAAAATCAAACTCCAGTAAGCAAGTAAGGCAGGTTTTTCCTCTTCATCTTCCTCTCACTGACCCTCGTGCCTCCTCTCCAGATCGTCCTCGCCTTCTCCCATCCACCGTAGCTCTCTTCACCTCCTATCCTCCCAGTTCAACCACTAGTGGGTTTTGTTTTTAGATTTTTCTCTTTCTGTTTTTGCCCTTTTGGTTTGTTTGTTATTTTAAATAATCTGATCCGTTCCTTTTAATCTTTTTGGTATTTTTTTTATTTGCTTTCTTATTTTCGTTGCTGTTTAAATATACATTGTCATTTCCTTCGAAAAAAATATAAATTGTCATGTTAAAAAAAAAAAAAAAATATATATATATATATATATATAGTGCTGAACTTTCGGGCGGCGGGCATGCCCGATGCCCGAAAATTTTCGGGCAATTCGGGCAGGCCACTCTCGCCGCCCGACCACGGTTTTCTTCAGGCACGGGCTCGGGTAGCCCGGAAATATTAATCCCCCCGACAGCCCGCCGCCGTGGAGAAGCCGTCCCCCGCCGTTTGCCGGATTTTTTTTGAATTTTCCGGCAATACCCGAAGCTGCCCGAAAATGCCCGAATTTGTGCCCACACAACCCAAATTTTTGTGACCGTTGCCCGATTTTTGCCCGGTGCCCGAAAAATGCCCGAATTTTGAAAAAACGGGTCTTTTTGCCCGAACCCGAATTTTGCCCGAATTCTTGAACCAAACGGTCGGATTTTGTACCGTTGCCCGACCTGCCCGATTTTTGCCCGAACTGCCCGAAAATTTTGAAGCCGTTGGACCCGAATTTTTGGGGAAAAATTTTTTTTTTCAACCCAAAAATTTTCCTATAAATACCCCCCCTCCCCCCAACCATTTTCCTCACCCCAAAACTCTCATTCTCTCTCAATTTCTCTTAATCTCTCTCAATTTCTCTTAATCTCTCTCAAATCTCTTTTAATCTAGCTTAAATCTCTCTCGAATCTCGATCTCTCTTAAGCTCTCCTAAAGCGCTCTCAATCTCTCTTATTTTTCACAATGGCTTCTTCTGGTTATGGTGGTGATATTCCCATTGATGCCCAATTCAACATCGAAGAAGGGCAATTTTCTAATGTTTTTCAAACGCAGGAATCGCAAACTATGAAAAGAGTTGCTGATGAAACTGCAAATCCGACCCCTGGTGGACGTACTAGAGGTCGGAGACGCAATGGTGGTGGTACAAGTGGCCGTGGAGGAGAGGCAAGCGGTAGTGCTAGTGCAAGTGTTGCAAGTTCTAAGAAGAAATGCAAGCGCACCTCAGCAGTTTGGGAGCACTTTAACATATTCGAGGACGTCGACAATAACGGTAACATTAAATACGTAGCTCAATGTAAATATTGTGGTGAGAAATTACAAGGTAACACTATTCACGACACTACACACTTAAGAAGGCACTCTGAAAAGTGTCTTCAAAAGCAAGGAGGCGGAGCTGATCTCCGCCAAACGCAATTATCGTTTGACCGCCAAACCGGCGGTCTAAGCACGTGGAAATACGATCCGCAAGTTGATCGTATGGAAATGGCACGATTAATAGCCACATTAGATCAACCACTTAGTTTTCCTGAACAAAGAAATTGGCAACGTTATATTAAAATTGTACATAATCCTAATGCACAATTTTTTTTCTAGAACTACTCTTAGGAAAGATGCATTAAAATTATATAAACAAGAAAAGGAAGCATTAATCAACCTTCTACACTCTACTAGTGGCTGTGTTGCGTTAACGGCGGATATTTGGTCCGCCGTTGCCAACAAGGATTATTAGCTGTAATCGGACATTATTATAAAGGTTTTGATTTAGATAAGAGAATCTTAGGTTTTAAATGTGTTATAGGATCACATACTGTCAATTTAATATATAACACAATTTTATTTGTTATTGATTAATATAGTTTAAGAGATAGAATAATGACTATAACATTAGATAATACAACTGCGAATACTAAAGCAATAGAACTTTTTCAAAATGATTTAAGTTTATTCGGTATAATGATTATTTTCCACCAACGTTGTGCATGTCATATAATTAATTTAATAGTAAAGTCCGGTTTAAAATCAATGTCAGGTCATATTAAAAGAATTAGAGATAACATTGCTTGGATTCAAGGTAGTAATCAAAGAATACAAGATTGGTTTAGATTTCTACAAGCATGTAATCAAAATCCTAGAG